CCAACGCTGTGAACACGTTGTCGCTTGTCAGACAGAATTGCTTCAGAATTATTTCAATTCATTCTCAGGACCGACTTTCTATTAAGCCTGGCACTAATCAACAGCTTAGTGTTAATGTTCAAAATAACGTTTTCAAATGATAACCCTCGATGGCAGAGAGTCGCTCAGAATCACTGTCAAACCCAGTCTCCTACATTCATCATGAACGCAATGAAATCCTTGATTTATAGTATGGTCGTTAACGGTTCCCCAGCCAAATGCAATTCTGACATTGTAAGCTATTTGATCGGCTTCCTGAGCATATCCAAAGTCGTACGAAATATTGCGCACATTTTTTGCTATTCTTACAATCACTTTTGTCTAAATTGGACAGAAGTTAAGACAAAAAAGGCATCAATACTGGTTATCCAGTGAATCCCGATAGTTTTTCGATACATAAGGACGTGAGTACTTGAAGAATCACGAAAAAGACACATAGCGCTCCAAGGATATGTATGATTTCTCCTAGATTCTATCTCGTATTTATTTCAAACATATCTGAAATGCAAATTTTTAAAATAATTTTCTTTCAATTTATAACACATCCGCACCAATAGTAGGAATTAATCCAACATTGGAGGACGTTCTTCTGGACGCAACTCCGATTGTTCTTCAGCTCAAATAAAAAGAAAAAGAAGGAAATAACTATAGCTCCCAAAAAGCCACAAAATTTTCATGATGGGATAAAGAAGCTTGTTTCTTGTTTGCAAAGATTTATAGATTCGAAAGCTTTTTACTTCAGTTCATAAGGTTTGCTATGAGCTAAGACATGCTTCTTTGATGTCAAAAGGCCAAAAAACATTCTTGATCACGCCCGATTCATGGTGAGTCATATCATCGCAAGTGTATTGAAGTTAACAAAACTCTACATTTCAAGCTTTCCGGAAGAATAAGTAATACGCTATAACTCGTATATAATGCTGAGATATTTGCAAAACTCCGGACCGCAGGTGTATGCGGCGGGGAACGAACGCGCGCTGTCCTTTCCGGGGAGTAGCGCACTTCACCACCACACCATCCGGGTCCTTCGTTTTGCCTGTCTCTCAGCTAGTTCTATTGATCTTTTACCATCAGCAATCACCCGTCAACGGGATTGATCTAACTTAGAGAGAGTAGTGCGCGTTCGTTCCCCACCGCATACACCTGCAGTCCGGAGTTTTATAAATATCTCAGTATTATATACGAGTTACATTTCGCAATATACCCTGCCATTAAAAAAGAAAGTAAATAAAAGGGTTAAGATTGTAATATGCTATAGTTCCTACATACTTTATGGATTAACCTATATTTACCCATCAACCAAGAATGAAAAATTCAACTTATTATTTACTGCCTACTCTCTTTAATGGCAGGGTATATTGTGAAATATAACTTCAGTGGTGCTGAGATATTTGCAAAACTCCGGACCGCAGATGTCAGTAGTAGGGAACGAACGCGCTATTGTCCTTCCTTTTCAGGGAGTAACGCGTTCAGCACCACACCATGCGGGTCCTTTGTTTCGCCTGTCTCTCAGTTAGTTCCATCGATCTCCGCCATCAGCAAGCACCCATCAATAAGAATAAGTCAAATCAATAGGAATGAACATATCACAAACGACGCCACGAAACGAACCTAGAACAGTGACAGCATGATGATTACCAGAAGTGTCTACTACAACCACTTCAACGGGTCCCTTGAAGGCATCTTCAACTCGTAGCGGAACCGTATCGCCAACACGTACACGATCTGTATATGAGCACAGGCGAGCACCGGGGAGTACCTGCATGCATCAAATTGTTTCTTTCCGTGGGCGGAAATATTTTTGACCATGCACGAGATTCGATTTTATAAGGATGATTATGACATAAAATATTATTTCGTAGGATTTTGGTTCAAGACTGATATAACAGGGCGAAAAAAATTGACTCGCTTTTACTTCGAAAATAACGCTGCCGTGTTTTAATATTAGGCAGAATAACGCAAGAGATAAATGCAGAAATATCACAACTGCTTGACATCCACAAAATAGGACTTTTTAAAATCCATTTTAAAAAACTGGCTCTTAATAAAAGAATATTTAACTAAGTCGACTGTTCTTAAAACAATTTCCAAAGGTGTTCTGCAACCTTTCATTTAAATATATCAATTTTCGGTGAACTTACGCTTTTGCACTAATTTAAAAATGAAAAGAAAACACAAAAAAATAGATCTATGGGTATGTAGGAGAATAGAACAGTTTTACCTCTACACTATGAGAGGCGTTTTCAATAGGAACAAAAGTCCGTTGTGCGATGTCCCTGAGTGCCAGATGGAGCTAAAATTAACAGTAAATGAATGCAGTGAGGTTTTCAGCACCACACTTAAGGAAAAATTCATACTTTATGAATTCCACATAGTCTGGGCGTGTACGAGATCAAAAATTTATGCGGATTTTCCTCAGTAATCGTGTAACGAACTTCGTGACCATCTGGGTCTAAGATTTGCATCTGAAATAAGCATTACTTCGAATTCAGTAAAGCAATTTTGTAAGCAACTTCGTTATTTTCATCAGTAGGCTTCATTAAGAATATAACCATGCTACGGCAGAACATATCCAGTGATCCACGGCAATCTTCACGACGAAAACAGAAATAGAAGACCTATACCAAATGCTTTGCGTGTTTTTCAAACTGGTGAAGCCGAGAACAGCTCTGATGATGCCCGACGAAGATGAATGGAATTTACATTTGCCTGCTAGGGTTGCAAATGATCAACGGGATTATAATTTTAAGCGACAGATGAGGTGATGTGAGTATGTTGCGTTGTGGTTAGAGGTACCTTGCAATGCACATGTGGACCTTTGTTCGATCCCGTGCTCCAAGTTCAAAGTTTCCATCTTTCCACTTCGGAAGATTGGTACCAGACAAGTACGGGACGATGGTAACACTGACCTGATACTTCTGTATCCCACTGCAAGCCATTATTGTACAGTCCAGTTAAGCATTTAATCAACTTGAACGATGCTATTATTAAAGCTATTGCTTGGTAGGCAAAAAGTGGTTACTTAACCGTTTAACTGCTTTGACTATTCTTTGTTTTTTTTTGGAAATGACTGTTAGTGATTACAAAAAACTACTGGACAAAACAGCCATTCTTCGAGAACGTAAATTCTCATGCATGAATTACATAAAGATGTGATTTGAAACGCTTGAAAAGTAGGACGTTGTTAATAGTATTTTACTCATTCTCTTTAGCAAACGCTATAATATAAGGCTAACCTGGGGCTCACATCCATCACCAACCACATTAACAGTGAACGCGGTTGGTAAATTGACAACTGGGAACTCATTCACACCCTCTAGCCCTCCGAGTGGAACATGCTCGGCTGGTACGACTGGTGTATTGCAAGTTCCCAACCTGTACCGAAAACGAGGCTGTAAATGAAAAACGAGAAAAAGCATTCACGCCATTTCAAACGTCATAAAACTCACTTCGCTACAGGAAACTGCGAAAGATACGTCATAACGGACATCTCATCAATTTCCGGATGAATTAGTTCACCAGGTGTTATGAGCTAAACGTAATACAGGGAAAAAATTACAGAAAAAGTTATTTCTCCCACATTGTTGAAAAATTGTCTTTTGTTCTATGCATCATGCTCTTTGGACCTCAATTCTTTAATGAGTAACTTCAAATGTTTTCATTTATAACGTTTACTGTAATATACTATTTTGACACAAGAGGTATTTAACATGATGTGGATAGTTCACAATACTACAGCTGAAAAGATAAATAAATTCGTCATTTTTTAAACTTTCCATGGGGAAATTTTAACGCTAGTTTGTTTTTACTTTCCAAATTATTATTATTACTCAGTGAACATGCAACAGTGCTCAGGCTGCTACGGATTCATGCATTTCGCAAAGACGGAACTAAATTCATTAAAACGAGAGTACGTTCGTTATCAGACCAGAAAGTTAAAATAGAACCCAATAGAGTTACTTAAATTGTAAAAGACTGAAATAGATACAAAAAAACGTTGCTCACAGGTTCAATATCTAGTCGATTTTGTGCTGTTTGCATCGCGTCTTGTGTGTTCTCGAGAGCATTTTCTGGAGTCCACTGATCCCAGTACGGAAGCGATCCCGGTGCCAGTGCGTCCACCTGTTGTTTACATACCATTAAAGATTCATTCATGTCTATCTATCTACCTAATATGACGTTTAAAATACAAGGACAAAACCAATCAACTATTTTGAGAAGAAAAAAGACATTCAATGGAATCTAATTCCAGATCAGATCTTTGGACAAATTAGAAGAAATGCGGTTACGGTTCTCGCACTGGAATCAGAAACACAAGCGAGCAAAACTCACGAGGCACTCTGGACTAATTCCAAGAATCCGGAAATGAACCGCAGGGAGGAATGCCTCATAATCACGCGTGATATTGGGCAATATATAAGCCTGTTATTCTGATGGCATGAGCACATTAGGATTCCATGTGAACTCTGTGCGGTTGTTCTCCACGTGACATATTCAGTGGAAGGCTCATGGAAAGCGGTGAGTGTGCAAAAAAAACTACTCTATGTCAATGTGATTGCAATTTTGATCTAACATTTTCTCTGTTTGATTATGGAGGTGCTTGGGTGGGTAAATTGCAATTTACTTGACCTTTCTATGCTCTAAGGAAGGAGAAATCCGCCGCCGAAACTTCAGTTTGTGTGCAAATAAAGAAATAAAATAACACCTCGTGCTTGCTAAATAGAAATATGAGAAATTAACATACTGCATCTGTTCAATTCAATTCACTCCACTTAACTATAATTCGAATAAAACAGTGGAAAAGCTATTTCTTAATATGAGCACTTTGCTGGAAATCCTACTGCATGCACTTTGCCATGCGTTTTTGGTCGATGGGACACAACAAAGAACCTTAAAGTCAAACGATTCACATTCTATTGAATTCCCTTACTGTGAAATCAATTCACCATACGAAATGATTCTCAAGTACAGAAAGAAAGAAAGAAAAATACCAGTGCTCCAAGAGCGATACCGTCGTTCCAGTCAGATGTGAAGTTTGTGACAGGCATCCCAGGTGGAAGCTTGCTACGAATCCAATTTAAGAGTTTTTGCTTCGGAGTTTCCTCTACTTGACCGTCATGTCTCTCCTGAAGCAACAAAATTGTTTAAGAACACATTTTCCAGGAAAATCTGATGATGTAGAAGTGCCAGTTATGAAAAAAAATGATAAGGCACTAATTCATTCAAACAAGGTTCAGCTACGTGACAACTGATCTACTTCAACCATTGAATCAAGATCTGCTTATATTCGTAAGAGATCGTAGCAGCATATATTAAATCTACTGTCATCTAAGATGGTATTGTCATTTACCTCAACGTGGAATAAGTACTTGAAATGAAGTTAATTGACGTAAGAATAAGCAAAATGCTTTCAGAAGTAGTAAAATCGTCTTATTACTATGGAGGTGGTAACGGTAAATGAATTCGTCACGGTGAAAGTAACGTACGAAAAACCTTAAAATTCGTTCCTCAGAATAGGAAACTTTTCAAAAACATATCAATGGAGTACGGGGTGGGTCCATAACCGTTCAGGAAACTCCTTAACAGTTCAGAAAGCTACATGCGAGTACCATTCACTCATCGACAAGAAAAAAATAAGTAACTCATTTCGCTGACCTTTCCACAACAAAATGACTTCGGAAAGAACGAATAGTAAGAATCTGTGTAGATATAAAGGCCATACCCACATCCAAATCACTCACTGGAGTGATGGTGCTTTGATAAGGAAGTTTTACAAATACACTCATAACCAAAAAGGCTTGATGACTTAAAATACCAAGAGATTAAGAGCATAGAACCAAGTGAACCACAGAGGAAACTGTCATGAGAATGAGAATCTATAGACCATTACTGTTCATAAGAGCCTCTTATCAACATACGACGACTAAGCCTTCCACTGCATAATGAAGAGATAATATTATCAACGTATTCACAGTATTAAGCACTGGTTTTTGGCAGCGACAGATGACAATTTCAAAAGAAAAAAGAAATAGAAAACAAAATGAAATATTGGAAAATAAGTTTTTCAAACACACATATTTCAGTTCATAGTGGATTTCGTTAAAGTAGTGCCACACATGTAAAATGTTGGACTCACACTGCATGGAAACTGTTGTGGTCTTCAGTTTTCTACCATTGTACATAAACTCACGCCTTCACTTAACCCTAAGAGATCTACAGAGCTCCGTCGGCACTAGTGTATTAACTTGATGTTTTAAATAACTGTTGTCCGACGTCGCTTTCTTTCTTGTAGAAGATTCTTAATTTACCAGATACGTAGTGAAATTACATAAAAATCAATAAACACAAATCATGAAGAGGAATTTTTTAAAATTCTGCGATTTAGTATTGGGAAATACTGTTAATAGTAATATTCCCTATATAGTATCAAGCATATAGAAAAAAAAAACGTCCAACTGATCTCCAAAAGTGATACACACGATATTACTTCAACGCATATTCGAGATGTACATACGAACTGGGAACGTCTTTGTGGTAACTTAAGAACACTGAATGTCTCTCGCACTTAACTTAGCACTTCGAAATGCTTCAGAAATTCAAAAACGCAGATGTATTAATGATTCAATTCAATGAATATTTTCCATTATAAGGAATAAATGAATAGTACGAGTCTGACTGGCTGCATAACTCATACATAAAGGTGCAAGTTGGCAAGTTGGGAAGCTTTCAAAATAACTGAACTAAAAAAAAGCAGGAACTTCCAACTCACTTGAATCCATCCCATTGAAATCGAATAGTGCAAAATTAGCGTCCAAATTAGTCCGAGGATGAGCTTTTTATTTTGATCCACAATATGTGAGCTATCTAAACAAAATGCTTTAAGTCACAGGACTTCACAAAAGCCACGAAATTGGTCATTTCAGTTCGTCACTCGAGGATAGCGTTCAGTGAATAGCGCAACTATTTCGCAACTTTCGTTCCCACGCCGTAATACCTGTATTCTATCTCGTTAGCCTCGTTCACCATTTCATCATGTTGTCACAGATTTTAAGAAGTTATTGGACGTTAATAATAGGTTAAAGTTTTGTTACGAATAAACAATTACATGAAAATTTAAACAGAGACAGAGATAAAGGGCAAAACAAATGTTTGAAGAAGGCACGGCCACCCAGTATGGAAGTTATTTCCACTAGGTAATGTTCCATTGTCCATAATTAAGCCTATGCTTGTAAAATCATGGCCCCCAAGCATCAGGACCAGGGGTTAAAGAGGCATATGTAGGAAGTCTCTTTGTCCTTGACACGACTTCAAGGAATTCTGGCGCAAACGGCTCGCAGGCATCTTCATCGCCTTGTTAACTTAATGACAATGGATTGAGTATCATAGCAGAGGCACTTCTTCAGCACACGGATAAGAGGATAAAGGATAGAGCTATCGGCGTTGACGTTTCTCTGAGGAATGCGTCATGTATTCGACTTCATTAAGTGTCGTTGGAGGCGATTGAATGCATATCTGGCCTTTACAACAACTCGCGGTGTTCTGCCGATGTATCGAGCCAGTGCTGCAATCTTCCCAGACAAGTCTGGTACCAATTTGCTGACACCGGAGGGATGGGAGGCTTAGTTGGCCATGGATGGAGGGATCGATTCCACGTGTGTGTTGCAGGGCGCCTCTAACCACTGCGCTACATGCTGTTGATATATTAAAGCCAGAAAACATTCATTGACGAATGATGTCAAAGGCACTAGCATACTTGCTTCTCAAAATCAGTAACGAAATGATATGCGCTATAGAGATGAGCGTCACTGTATATATCAGAATTTTCACCATTTGGTAGCACATGGAAAGCAGAGTACAGAGAGTTATGCTTATATTACTATTTCTAAGGATCTTAAAACACCCACCTATGTTTACAATCTTGATATGTTCAACATCTTGAAAAAACTTCAACGCAAGTGAAACATTTTCTAGCTTCTGTGAACGAAAATTGACCTGACAGCAAAGTGTGGATGTTAGTCCAAAAACTAATGAAAAGGTAAACACCTCTACCTTTTTGTTAAAGCGACCGACATTTTTCTGAGAAAGCACGGCTGCAAGACTGATGAGCTTCAGACCATCTGATAGGTCTGTTTCCTGAATGAATTGCATGCCACATCATGTGTGACATAGTTCGGTATGCAGACAGTACAACTATATCAAAATCGTTCCAAAGTCCTTGTAAAGCAAATAAAGAAACAGGAAAATAAACGCGTCACGACGGACAACAACAAGTCGAAAAGTACCAACGAGACTTAAAAACTGAGGTGTTACCAGGTTCTCAATAGAATCTCCAGCCCTCTTGAGATGGTTGTTCACCCAACGAGTGAACGTGTTCTGCTGAATAATCTTCCATTCCGCATCATCTAGTCGTATGGCAGGAGTCACCTAGAATTGATGTAAGTGAAGAAGAAATCACCAAAGCAGGAAGGAAAAAGCAATCTAGTTAAACATTAAGGGCTTGATCCCTCTGAAAAAAAATCAAAAAAAGAACAAGGAAAAAGTAATAGCCTCTTGTTCTTGATTGTGATCCGCAGTTAACACCTGAGAATGAGGATCGTACATTTACTTCTTCGTATTGGTTTCGATTACGAAGTCTTAACCCTGAAAGAGAAAGGTATGATAACATAACATGGCAAGATGTTACAATCGTTAAGGAGAGCAGGGTCAACTGAATACTCATTCGTGGTTGAAATGTTTCTGGAAAAACACGAAACGAGGAACATTCTAACTCTTCAAAAAAAGAAAATTTTCATTCCATTATAACACCTTATACACCATTTCAAACTAGGAAAGAATCTGAGAAAACATGAAAACTTGACGGCGAACGATGGCGAATAAAGAAACGTGCTCTCGATAACCCAAAGAACATAAAAACGGGGATAAAACATGGGTTAACCTCGTTTCTACGTAATAAACAGAGTTTTCGTACAATATTGAAGAAGAAAAAGAAGAAGAAGAAGAGGCTGTCTGAATAGCACCAATGACATTTTAGTATGATCATACCTTTACCCTTCGTAAAGACAATCCCTCACCACGACAGAGCACAAAAACTCTGTCAAAAAATCTTAACACCTGACTTTAATTAAAATCAGTAACAACAATCAATAATCCACTATATGACTGAGCTGACATGAAGTTGGTAGAAAGTCTTTATTGGCCCAACACTTTAAGTGCCTTCGCCTTCCTCATATCGGCGCTGATCCGAGTGGATGGTCCACAGCTGGTTGCTGTCGCGATGGGAGTGTCCAGCGTTTCAGCTCAATCATATAGAAAATTATTGATTACTGTCACTGAGGTTTAATGAAGAGCGGCTTCTAAGATATTGATCGCCACGCTACGTGGCAACAAACGAGGTGCCGACTGCGGCAAGATGCACTTCTCACCCAAAGTAGATCGTATTCGAGGCAACGATCGATCGACACCTATCCTGTACACAAAGGCTCCTCCCTCCACTGGATTCGACACGATGCAACCACGACCAGCTGTGGAACATCGACTCTTGGATCAACGCGGGTCTGACGAAAGTAACGGAGCCGAAGAGTTGGCCAAATAAAAGCTCCACACCAACCTCGTGTCAGCTCAGTCATAAAGAAAATTATTGATTATTGACAAAATGAGAAGAGTGGTACAGGATAGGAGCCATCAGACCTGATTGGAAGTAAACCTTTACCACGTGGTTGTGGTTCGTTTAAAAAAATACGTCGAAAAACAATATGAAAAGTTGAACAAACGCAAAAGAAAGCAGCTAACAAGCAACAAATACGTGGCTTAAGAAATCTAGATGATAATGGCATGGAGCTGAAAACTTGTAGAGTCATGGTATTAACACCTACGGTTACGATCACAGTGGAGCGTTGGCAGAACTCGAAGTGCTGCTAAGCAAGGGATTTCAGCTAGGGCTGACAAGACGCGAAGGCTGTCAAGCAAGGCATTCCTGCTAAGGCTAGCAGAACCCGAAGTGATGTCAAACGAGGCATTTTTGCTAAGGTGACTGAAAAAAGCGAAGAATCTGAACTTGAAGAAAGAGGAGGATTCTACGGATACACATCATTGACTCTTTGTAGCCACAAGTGGGATATTGGGATCGAGGGCTACGACACTGTTCCACGTATGCACCCTGGTGCGCCCGTGGCAACTCAAACCTGCCGGTCATCCGCTAGAAACACTTTGGACAGGACAAAAACTAGTTTCATGAATAATAGAAGGCCAAACCTACTAGGCCTCTGTCATTTTTCAACATCAGTGATGAAAAGGAAAAAAAACAGTCGGACAGCACTTTTTCCCTTTGAAACAGCAGGTAGACGACCAATGTTTGGATTCCTGTTATTTGGTGAAAACGTACCGTAATTACGAAAATGTCTCTAGATTCTCCCTGTCTCTAGGTGCTGTACGCTTAGATTACTATACTCTTAAACTTATCGCAGTAAAAAGCTTGGGTCTCTATCGACAAAATTCCACTTCGCTTGAAAGGGATTTTGACTCATCACATCCTTCGTCGGAATGGCAAACGTCTCCCTTCAATTACTTCAACATAAAGCCTTCAACGCAAACCTTTCAACTCTTACAGAGTAAAACTGTGAATGAGGAGAAAGCGGATATTTCTACACTGACAATCGCTGTAAAGGTAACTCGTTAGCATAGAGGCTGTCAGCGAAAAGTGTTCTAGTGTCTAAACAGGTGACACGAACGAATAGTTTTCTGGATGAAGGGATGAAGGATAAAGCTCGCAGCGTTGATCTCATCATCCCTGAGGGATGCGTCATGCACTCGACTTCATTAGATATCGTTGGAGGCGACTGAATGCATATCTGGCCCTTGCAATGACTTGCGGTCGCCTACCGATGTATCGAGTCAGTGCTGCCATCCTGCCAGACAAGTCTGGTACCAATCTACCTATCTCGGAGAACTGGAAAGCTAGGTGAATGAGTTTGAGACGTGGGATCGAACCCAAGTGTATTGCAGGGCGCCTCGGCCACTGCGCTTTACGCGCAAAGTTTTCCAAATGCATAACAACATATTATCACCTTTAGTGCTTTTTCTAATGTACTCTTTTAACCGAAAGGTACGGAAAGGTGTATATGAATATGTAAGCGCGGTATAACTTATACTCAAGGCAATACTGAACTAAGTAAGCTTCTAATTAAGGCTTCAAAACAAGAAAAAGAAGCAAACGAGCCGAATTTGCTTAACATTTTCGAAATCCATACACCTGAGAAAGCTCAAAGCTAGAAAAGCAGAATTAGTTGAGACGTACTTATGGACTCAAGGCCCATCGAAAACCCAGATGGTCTGAAAGGAAAAAGCCGCACGGTGTTAGTACACAGTACGAACACATTGACAACAATACGTTGCCCAGTTTTTGCTCATCTTTGTCTCCCTTCTATGTCAAGCCTTCTCCTTAGAAAACTAATCAATAATATGACAAGGTATTAACTATATGTAAATACAAGAACATATAAAAATATAAACACGGTGAAATAAGGCATTCAAAAAATGTGGTCCACACTGTCATACAGTGTCACGTTTCTACATGTTACCCAGGAAAAGTGAAAAATAAATGTAAAAAATCCCAGAACCAACTTTTCTTAACCTCGGAAATGATCAATAATTCACCGCTTTTCTTGCTGAGCAAAGAGATCAAGAAAAACAGTGGACAAATAAATCACTCAGTGAAAAACTTCTTTGCTTTGTGCCAAAGATAGGAATTGTCTTCAAATAATACTAAAGTGTAAAAGCACTGAAGAGCGGAGAATTAGTTGAACACGAAAGCGCGCTCTGATCTAAGAAGCAGGGTAAACACTCGCAGTGGACGACGTGACGTCGGTAGGCACGATCCGGCCGGACGTCGTTTAGTAGGAGTTCGAAGAAGCATTCAAAAAAGTCCGTACTGTTTCCGATCCAAATTCCGAAGAGAAAACACAAATGAAAGCTGTTTCGATTGGAAAGTTAGTCTTCATGGAAATTTCCGCACAACACATGATCACAGCGATTATCGGGAAAATCGATGAGTGACTTCAGAAAGTAAATCAAAGAGAGACTGAGACTTTCAATAGCAAGGAAATACAGAGACGTTTTGAATACCACATTTACTTCATTTTAGTTCATGTAATACTCCTTCAAAAAGAGATATGTTAGCTCGCTGTACAGATATAGACTTTTGGGCGAGAAAATGGCACCATAAGGCTTGATTTGATTTCATATTTGTTGTCGTGCGCCAAATATGGGTCTCATTCAGTGGAAGGCTTCCACCAGCGAATGCAGTCTCTGGGATGGCTGTGTGTATATGAAGCGTTTCGATCTTCATTTCTTCTATTTGGATGGGTAACTCTAGGTGTGAGGTTTAATACGGAACCACTTTCTAAATGCATATGCATAGAAATCATCTAGTTGTTCAAAATAACTCAGAGTGTAAAATAAAAGCTAGAAATTAGCAGCTGAAGTAAAATGAATTTTTTACTTTTTTCAAATGACCGGTTTTCCACCTCCACTATCGGGATCCCAGAAGTTCTTGCGTTCCATTCGTTTCCTCGCATCCATCATCCACAAAGGTATTCCAGCTTTTTGCATGTGGGTTCAACTGCTGCTTGAGCACCTTCCTTTCATGAACATCGTTGAATCCTGATCGAGCCGATTCTCCTTGGAGTCCTAGTGTAGCCGTGATAGAGCGTTCCCACTTGGACTGCAGACAGCGAACTATTGCAAGACAAATTTAGTACCAATGAAGGGGTAAGAGGCCTGATAAGTCTGGTGTGGGGTTGAACCATGATCGTGCTCATAGTGATCGGCATCGCTACCACTGCGCTACCAACTTCGTGAAAGTAACATCACAGTTCAAATACTGATAACTTTTTATTTGTCATTATTTTTCACGGCAGGGTATAATGTGAAATACAAACACTATGATGCTGAGATATTTTCAAAACTTGGACCCTATGCCAGGTAGAACCGCGATTACCCTTTCCAAAGTTCACGTGTTACGCAAGGCATCACTGAGGCCCTTACCTATCTCTCTGCCAATTCAAATATTCTACATGTAGTATAACACTAGCCTAGAAATCTTCACCATCATCAAAAACGCAGTATTTTGAAATTACTAGGTTTTGAACGTCAACATTGTTCGCACTCGCTTTGGTAACAGAACAGCCGGCGCATATCTGCGTCAAGAATTGCCGTCCTGTATTTCAAAAGTGTTTTTGAAGAGGTATTTCAGTGAATGCGTGGACTATCTGGATTCGGCTTTTTGGGTGGTCCTCGAGCACACTCAGTCCAATTATCATAGGTTCGTTGCCCTCACTGAAATCGCTGTCGCCCTGGAGGTGTTCCAGTTGTGTGGCAGCAAACACCCACAAAGACCCACAGAGGTAGGAAAATGCCTTTGGTGACTTCACCCCTATATTGGGTTTCTGAGGATAATGAGGCTCGACCAGCATTCGGCATACCAAAAAAGAGAAATCAACAGATCCTTAGGTTTCATCAGAATCCATGTTCGAACTCGACCACACTTACAGAGAAGGACCGAGACACAACGAACGAATGGAAGAACTTCTGAGACTCCAATTACATGTAAAAAGCGGCCTATCTACGTTCCTAAGTAATTGTGTAGAGGTGTGGTTAGCGCAAAATTTCTTTGGATTGATTATAAGTTTCACATCAGTATATCTCTGGTTTCACTAATTGCAGGTGAACACAACGCCATTACTGCAAATCCTCCAACTTCACAATATGTAATGTCACCAAAAGTTACTATAGGTGGTCTTCTGTAAATTTATTCCATGTCTATATTTATTATTAAGCATAGCTCAGCACCATTCGGAAACTTTCTTCTGGCACTGACTTTTAAAAAAGTTGAGTAGAGCCACCGCCTACTTAGTGACCTGTTTAGAACAATTTCTTTTATTTACTATGCCCGGACATCGGTTTCTCGAACCAATCGGTGCTAGCGCAGGTCACCCTCTAAGTGAGTGAAAACTGGTTGTCGAATAGGTATTGGTTACAAACGTATACCGAAAAACTTCAAGCACCATGTAAAACCTGCTCTACTGAAGACGAAAGGCAAAAATCGAGTTAGAGAAACCGGGTACCGAACAGCAGTAAATAAAAAATCGATTACGATATAAAGTTGAGGAAAGAAATTCGGGATTTCAGTCGAGAATCGGAACAAAGCGTGATGAAATCAGTGGAAGTGACCTTCACCTACGTAATAACAAAGTGTACACTTGAGAGAAAAACCGGTAGACAATCACTGCCCTCACTCAGTCGAAGTAAGTGCTGACGAGAACGGTTCGGAATGTACGTGCACATTTATACTATCAATTATTGCACAGTAAAAAATCTGTTGACTCGTTTAAAGCCCCACTGAAGAGTAGAAATCCTAACAGAAGCGTAATTACTGGTAATTTCGAAAGTCGTGCAAAAACAAAGAAAAAAGACCTTAAAAAGCTCAATATTTAAATTAACTGACAAATTCAGATGGGAGGACCCTTTGGGAAGTGCAGTGGGTTAAGAAAAAAAGTTGTGAATCATGAAAAAATGTGTTATAGTTAATGGCGGAAAGTGATGTGATAGAGGAAAGATGCCTGCACAACCACGAGTTTCCGTTTTTATGAAACATCGCGAGTTAGTGGACGTCATAATCTATTTTTAACTGTTAGACAACTGCTTTTATTTGGGACACTTATCGCATAAATCAGTTATCAAAGACCAGAAAGAAATCTCATCGCCAGTCCGACTTTGAATTTAATGACACGAAAAATTAAACTCGCGTGTTCGAACAACCGTACTCTAATAGCTTACTTGCTTGATGCTTGATTGGCTCGTCCTCACTGGTTGTCCGAGCCCCAGCATAATCTCCACTTTTCGGAGATTTGCTGGTTAAGCCAATGTGGTTACCCGGAGTCCCAAGGTCAGCTCTTAGCTAGGCTACTCCAAAACCTTAGAAATCTCAAATGATATAAGGAAGTTTTATAGTGGCGTTCCAACGAAAGTGTTTGTTGGAACAGCAAGTGCTCGAAGGGAGGGAATGATATTTTTTGCTATTTAGTAATTCATAAAACCGAGGGGGTAGCGCAGTGGCAGTGAACCTGTTTCCTATACGGGCAGCTCACCCTACCCAGGCGCTTAGTCACTGAGCTCACGAAGCTTATCACCCATATG